AAATTCAACAAGCTTACACTGCATATCTAAACAGCCACACGAACATGCATAAAATGGGGCACGAACCCTTTTCTCATTCAAATAAATGTCTGGCCCGGACTCTGTATAGGGTTTTGTAGAACCAGAATACATTGGGCGATTTCCGACAATGTTATTTTAAGATCTGGTTTGGGTCTCCAGTCAATGTGAGTCTGTGTTAGAATTTTCAGCAGCAATGCATCGTGCTAGAACAGTTTATAGATATACGTGCACGAGCTGAATGCAGAGTGTCTATAATCCAAATGCGCATAATGCAGCAGCTGGATTCACTACGCATACGGCTCGTGCTATATACCTGCTGGGCTGTCGATAGTGTGTGCAGATTAGGTAACGTATTTCTAACGTGAAAACTGACCAGAACCTGTTCTTATGTAAAAGGGCGCGTTTTCGTCGAGCAAGGTGACCTTTAATCCAACTATGATTTGCACAGAACTTCCTATAAGATTGGAACTTGCTGCGATAAACGTGCCATGGACCCTGAGGCACTCTCAAGCGGTTTTATTATCGCTTTTCGCCTGAGGGGCCCCCCACTCGTTGCTAAATAAAACAAAAACTAGGTTCTACAATTGGGCTGTGCAAGCATGACGATAGTTCACACATTCTGCAATTGGGCTGCGCAAGCATGACGATAGTTCACACTTTCTTTATAAAACAAAAATTAGATTCTGCAATTGGGCTGCAAGCATGACGATAGTTCACACATTCTGCAATTGGGCTGCGCAAGCATGACGATAGTTCACACTTTTTTTTTTTCGCGACATATATGTTGAAAAAACTAAGAACTGTTTTAGGACTACATAAAACAACTAACTATTCTGGTAAGAGAAAAGGTGGCATTATTAATTGAAATGCTTGTATATAATAAGCGTAGGCTTCAGCTTCTTTTTTTACGCATGAACAATGCCAGTATATAGGCGGTATAAGATGCCCAGACAGCTTCGTCGATGTTTTTTTTTTTACTACTTTATGCAAATTTATTCCGCATGTAAGGCAACTTGGCGCTTTCTTTGCATACGTAATGCCTTCCTTGTACCGTTGTCTGTAACGTACGTCAGAGATAAAGAACTCGAGTTTTCGTGCGATCGCTATAGTGTATGCAAATGCGAGGGCATAAATTAAAATGAATATTTAACATTGTTGACGGATTGATAGCTTCAATTAAGGCATGCAGTTAAGGTTTTCACGAACTGCAATGATGTGATATATTCATCAAGTTAAACAGTGTTTGATTAAAGACGCAAAATATTAATCACCTAGATAAAATAAAGCATAATGTCAGGAGCTAAAGAAACATCGCACCTTAAGAGCACAGATAGATTCAGTAGTTGGATGGTCACGAACAAAATACCAATATTTTGCTATCTATCTATCTATCTATCTATCTATCTATCTATCTATCTATCTATCTATCTATCTATCTATCTATCTATCTATCTATCTATCTATCTATCTATCTATCTATCTATCTATCTATCTATCTATCTATCTATCTATCTATCTATCTATCTATCTATCTATCTATCTATCTATCTATCTATCTATCTATCTATCTATCTATCTATATCTATCTATCTATCTACAGGATAATGACAGATATTTTGTCACTTTATAAGTTCATATACAAAACCTTCCATAAAATATTTCTTTTGGACACACTTTTTCCCTCTTTGAACCCGTAATACACATTGCCTGAGTAATAAATTCTTCCTGTCTGGATACCCAGCCATGGCATAGCCCTCCCACTGGGGCGTGAAACCCGAGCAATTGTTTCACCCCACCCTCCCTTATAAGCGTGAGGGTTTGTGCTATAGTTGGCACTTGATTGCACAATATATATTGGAGTTCAGCGCGTGTCTGTGTCCTCTCTCTTGTCCTTCGTCCATTTTTCGCACTCCCAGCACCTTATAACACCTTCACCTTACACATACAAAAAAGAAAACAACATAAAGGACAGAAACAATGACAGAAGACAGCAGCATGGCACTCGAATACCTTGCGCGTCCACACAAAGCTAGTGCATGCTTACATATGGGCGAGCCATCCGCCGAAGTAGCTTACACGTGTAGCGCTGCTAAGCACGCTTAATTGCGAGCTTGATTCCCGGTGGAACGAGCGGCCTATGAGAATGTTAACTTTCGTGTAGTGCCACCGCTGCATACGCATCAGCCCAATGACTGACAATTTGTTTTGTCTCTTTCTCTTCTCTTTCCCAAATAAAAGTTTATTCAATCAAAATAAAAGTTTATTCAATCAAAATAAAAGTTTATTCAATCCAATCTTCTCTTTCCCCCCTCTCTCTCACTTTAAGCTCCCCTTCTCCCAGCGTAGGGTAGCAAACTGGACATGTGCCTGGTTAACCTCTCTGCTTTCTCTCTTGTTGTTCTTCTTTCCTTTCTACCTCCCTAATTTCCGTAATTCCTTCATTTTATTCCCGGCCATGGCATCCGCGTTTAAATTGCGGTGAAGGGCTGAAATGCAAAGAAACTTGTTTTTATATCTACCTAAACGTAAAGAAACTAATGTCCAACCTACTCCACTGCAACGTGCACCCTCACTGACATCGTGTTTTAAACACGTGAAAGCGGAGAATTCTTATTTTAATCAACGCGTGAGTCTGCGCTGCATGCAACACTTTGAAAAGCAGCGGCCTTTTGGTGCTATATACTTGATCTTTCGTGTCTCAGTCAGGCCTCCAAGACCCACCCATTCATCTACTTGTTGATAGATATAAGTGAATGAGCGGTGAAATGCGTGCGCTCAAGAAATAAAGGAAAGAGAGAGAGATAGAGAGAGAGAGTGAAACATTGTGCCCTTAAATGCGAAAGTGTCAGCAAACAAGCATCCTCACTTATTTTTCTCTGACCCGAACAAACTGTTACCAATGCGTTCACGTTGTGTCATCAAGTGCAGGTTTTACGATCGGTGTACACATTTGGAATATCATGGCGCGATCAATCAAATCAATCAATCAATCAATCAATCAATCAATCGATCGATCAATAGAGATGTGAGTTTGCCACAAAAATGGACGGCCAATGTGAGAGACATGAAAGATCAGCTCAACTGTTTCTTCTGCTTGTTCAGCACAACTGCTCGTTTGTGTGCTTAACGGCACTGGACGATGAAAGAACATCCGGTTCTCTCGAGTTCCAATGAGTGACCCACGGAGTCGAAAGCGAGACACAACGGCCACCAACGCATTCCTGTCGAATGACATTCATTCCCGGACCCACCGCAAATCGAGCCCCATAATACGCGTGTTCGACATTCGCACTCGGAGACAGTGCCGTTCGCGGGACAACGACGCGCAGGGAAAGGCGATAGATAACCACAGCTCTCGCGATGCATTCATTCCGGTTCCACGAATACGACCGGGAGCCGGTCTGCTCTATTATTCCGCCCCGAAAACGCACCGCTGCCTACGCAGGTGCCTCCCGTGGATGGATCAGGGGCCCACGCGCTACACAGAGGGGCTGCAAATGACTTTCTCGAAAAGAAAGCCAGTCGTCATAACGATGCCATCTGCCGAAGGGGGAGAAATTCGTACGTGTCTCTTCACGGCGGCCGTGCCTAATAATGCAACGCCGGCGCAAGTTCAAGGCTGCCGCAGGATGTGCCGAGGAAAGGGGGAGCACTGCTAATGTTGTTTCGCGGTTACGCCCGCGCGCCGAGCGCGACGCGCTAGCTCGGTGTCGTTGGCTCGCGGGGGCACCTCCCCTAGTCGTGATTTCGATCCTCCTCCGTCCCAACGTCCTGGGAGAAAGGCAGAGCGCTCCGTGCGAAGAGATAAGTGATGCAGGCGACCGAGCGCCCCCGGCGTTGTTGTGGAGAAGCCCGCATTCCACGTAGATGGGTCTCGGGACGATAGAAGCAGCACGCTTTGCGTCGCGGCGCAGACAATGGTCGTCTCGCTCCTCCTCCTCTTCTTCCGCCGCCGCTCGTTTTCGGAGCAGTGATCCTGCGCCCCAAATGACACGTCCCGCACCGCGAATACCTCTCTCTCTCTCTACCCCTCTTTTCTCTCCGTTCCGGTGGGAAAACTGAAATTTCGCGGGGCGGAACCCAGAGTGCAAATAACCAACTGCAACGAACGTTCCAAAGGAGAAAGAGTGTGTGTGTGTGTGTGTGTGCGACTGTGATTAGTAAGTAGAGACCGCAGTGAGACCGGGACCACGACGACGACAAAGGAAAGGCCAAAGTATAGCTGAGCCTGATGCAGTCGCCGCCTTTTCCTTTCATCGCCCCAGCGACCGCAAATCCGGATCCGAAACCGACACTTGCCGAAAAGTGAAATAACGCCGCTAACGCACGCACGCACACATGTAGTTGTTGCAGCACTCGGACCGCCGAAGAAATCGGCTCCTCACGCGCGGAGGAAAGCGAAGAAAAGTGCCCCCCCTGATAACTCTCATTATGCAGGCGCATACAAACGCATACTCGACGGACCGGGAACTTTTGGAAGGTAGAGAAAGCACGCAACAACCCATCGGCGGAGAAGGTCGAAGGACCGCCGTCGGAGAACGAGAAACCGCCGTGCTCAAGCAAGACAGAACGAGGGCTACACAACGTGACTGCTGCTATTGTTTGCTTTCTTTCAGTTTCTCTTTCTTACTTTGGAGCAGCTCGCACGCAGCGGCTTAAGAATCGGCGTCGGTCCTGCCCGCAGAAGCACTCGGCGAGCGACCATTGATAAAGCGCCATCAGGCGGAGCCGCGCGGCAGCTGCCGGCACTCAGCGACCGGAAAAGAAACGAAAAGATAATAGGCACAATTAGGGGGCCCTAATGACCCCACGTTCCCTGCGCGCTCGACGCGAACCAATCGGAGAGCATGTTTCAGAAGCTGCGGCCAATCGGAGAGCGGAGAGCGGTAAACTCTAGCGGGCCCCCTCGAAAAGTTTGCCCGCGAGGGTGAGCGCTTGTGGCGCCTCCGCGTCGTCTGCTATCTTGTCGGCCTCGCAAGGCTCGCTGCGCTCGCTCATCAGACCGGTCGTAGACGGAGGCCGTCAAGTCTGGCGCGCGTGCATCGTGGAGGCTCACTTCGCGAGTGTCATTCGGGCGAGTCGCATCGGCACGAAGGTTTTCTCGCCGCGTGTGTGCGTTCAACGACGACGAGTGCTATGTGCATATTGTCTGCGAGCTAGAGTCGACGGTTGAAACCTTGTGGCGCACACCGTGCAAGCGACGCCGCTCCGGGTGTGTTGCATCGGGACGTGTCGTCTGCTCAGCGGCAAGGATCCAAGATGGCAGCGCCCGGCAGTACTTCAAGAGGAGCAGCGAGTCTGTTTGCGAGATCGCTGTGCGGGTTGCTGCTCTGTCTTCTGTTGAAATGCGTCGTGCTGGCTTACGGTAAGTGTACCGAACGTCAACTGTGTCGTGTCTCGCGATCGCATCGTCTGAAGCGCGCTTACTCGGAGCGGAACCAAAGTTGCACGCGACTCGAGAAAGTTTCGCGTTCACTGCTTTCACAAACTTTCGGAAGGTATCGCCGTTGAATTCCTTTCGCTGCGATGATTGTATAGGGTACTTTCATTAGTGACCATTTCTGGCGATTCGCTTACAAACATTTCGGAGAACGTTCTTAATGCTCGATGACACTTTGAAAGAAGCTGACCGGTTCTCACGGCGTGTGCTGTATCATTTCCCCTGCGACAGTTCGCACCTTTGAAAAAAGACGTGCGTGGTCATTCGTATCGTTCTTACGGGGAGCCTTTAAAACCGACCTGCATGCAGCATGGTGCGCCCTTGTGGCATGCCGCTTCCGCGTTTGCACAGCGCGCATGCGTTAACGCGCTAGAACGTGACCTGGAAGAGAAACATGTAAACGCACGCCCCGCCGCTCCTCGCCGTTATACTGTTGGTTGCGTCAGCGGCGACATCGCTCAAGCGCCAGCGTACGTCTGGCGTCGTCGCTGGTGGCGCCGCAGATGCAGCGGCAGCGATAGGTGAAACAGTTGAAGCCGGTCGGGCACTGGCTTGTAACGCGTGCCGGCTCATACAGCGGAGCGCTGTTCTGAAGTGAGAGCGGTCGTCCTTGCCCGCTAGCTAGAATCGGTCGCACGGCACTCGCTGGCCTTTTCTTAACGCCGGCTCGCTTGCCCGCCCGGCGCAGTGGTGCAGGCGTTAAATCGAGGTCGGCGCGTAGCCAGTTTTCCGAAGGACCCGACCGGCCACAGAACCAGCCTGCCCAGCGCGCGTTTCCCTTTTCCGGGATCATCGTGGCCGTTTTGGTCGTCCATCACGATCTGCGCGCTTCTCGTTGATCTCTTTCTCGCTTCCCCGAGGCGCCTCTCTGATTACTGTCGCGCTAGCGAACGAATGGGCCACAGAAGTTTGCTCAATCGTTTCGTTACGTGACCATGTTGTTACCCGGGGCGTGCTCGATCGCAGATCTTCCGAAGTTCCGATATCGCCGACCCGAAACTGTCGTCTTTACATTAGCCGAAATTCTGCTGTTTGGGGCTATTATGGGGCGGAACTGGGAAGTCGCCCTGAAAACGACGACCAAAAGAAACAGGGGCGCCGAGGTTTCGCGCTTCTTCGGGGACCTTTGCGACATGCCCGGGGCCAACAAAACGAGTCTTCTTTCGGCCAGCGCCGAGGAAAGGGAGCACCGATGCTCGCTTCTTGAGCCTCGAGTTTGCCCCCCCTTTCCCCTTACCCTCCCTTCGCCGTCGAAGGAATGCTTTCCCGGCGGCGCTTCGGTGACCGGCACAGGCTCGAGGAAGTCGAGCGAGGAGGGGGTTGAGGGGCCCAGGGACGCGCGCGGCATCGTCTTCGTTGACAGCCGGTGTCAGCGAGTGTACCGTAAAATACTGCCACTCCGACGCGGAGGCTTTTCGGTTGCGTTCAGACACCGCTGTTGGTTGCGTGCAATGAATTTGTTTCCTCCGCGGAAACCAAAACACTAGAATGCAGTTTCAGATAGAAACGAAACGCCGGGTGAATGTGTACACCCTGGTGTTAAAGGACGAAAAACAAAAAAATCGAGAATTTCAATAATCAAATGAATGGAATTCAGTAACGACATTTCTACAGTATTCGTATATACAACGTTTTAAAAGGTGAAAGTTTGGCTCGTTTGCCTATCGACCGTATAACGAACAAAGTTTCGAGTCGGTCAAGACGAAGGCTTTTCATTTTCTTTACCGTCACGTCGGCCAAGATGTTACCGACGACTGCTCTTTCTAATACAAGCCTACAGTTCTGACTAACAGGCGCCCTATTTTCCATCCCTATTTCCCATAGCACTGCAAGCTAACAAATCATACCAGGCTAACCTCCCCGCCTTTCTCTTCACATATATCTTGTTTAATCGTCAGAACTCTGTCACTTCTCAGATCACCGTCTATTAATGCCTGCTTGCCTGACCTAAACTATAGCCACCATGCCTCAAAAATCAAACAATTCTAACCACGCACAAACGCTTTACAAATACTGCATGAAAACATGACATTAGTCCTTGAAATTTCATTTTTTAAAGTTTTTGCTTGTTTCTGAGAGTTCCTTTGCGTTTTTCCAATTTTGTGTTCGTGACGCTGCATATCGGAATTATTGCACAGGCACTCCTGCCCTATCTTTAACGGGCTGTGGTACCTAAATAATTGAACTTGTGCCCAGTTAAGATGCACAGATCGTTGTTTTCTTTTATCTTCATTATGGGATTACGTATGCACAGCTTCAGTAGGTGGCGGAAGCAAGAAGAAATTCTATTGCCGTTTTAAATTGTACAGGAAGCTTGATTCAACATTATCCGACATGCTATGTAATAATAGCATAAACGTATATATCAATGGCAAAGGAGTAGCAGGCTGATTACCATGGGATGTAGCCAGAAAAGTTTCCAGGAGGAGGGGGGTAACACCCCTCACAATCCTCCACCTCGCCAGGTGGGGGATCGTGACAAGTGGCACTTGAAAAGACAAGCGGCACTTGAAAGGGAATTGTACCCAACCTATATACTCTTTTGAGAGATATACCGAAGCTGTCAAAGGTCATCAAGCACTAGAAAACGAAGTCGTAATTGTTTCATACGCTTAAAGGTAAGAAAGCGTTGTTTCTACAGGTGAACCACGTCAATGTGGCGTTAAACGAAAAAAAAATGATTTAGTTTGTGGCAGCCAGCATCATCATCGCGTAGCTTTGTTGCGAAGGTTTAATTGAGGAAGCTGCTGATGATATGCCGGGTTTAACGTCCCAAAACCACCATATGATTGTGAGAGACGCCGTATAGTGGAGGGCTCCGGAAATTTCGACCATCTGGCGTTCTTTAACGTGCACCCGAACCTGATTACACGGGGATAGTTATAGCGAGAGAACAGAACGACGACAAAGAGACAAGAAGGGCATGAAGGACACGAGTGCTCTCGTCCTTCGTGCCCTTCTTGTCTCTTTGTCGTCGTTCTGTTCTCGCGCTATAACTATCGTCATGTTCCGCCAACTAGCCCGAGCTGCCACACTTCTGAGTACATTGGCCTACAGCACTTTTGCCTCCATCGAAAATACAGCCGCCGCAGCCGGGACTCGATCCCGCGACCGGCGGGTCAGCAGCCGAGTAGTACCTTAGCCACTAGACCACCGCGACGGGACTTAATTAAGGAAGCTCTTTTATTGCACCGCGCAGATGTCGCGTTTCTTTGTTGTTCGTCCCAAAATAGGAATTTCCTATTTTCGGCTGCGCATCAACAATACGAGCTAATTTCAGTCGCGTGTAGTGGTACATCGTGCGCAGTTGCACAACCAACCGACGATGACGCCCGCAGTGCAATCATCTATTTGACGGACAGCGAGAAACTCGTTCCCGTGGGTAGACATAAATGACAAGCATAAGTATAGGACACGTGCGCTGTGCGTTGACTGTCACGCCGTGGTAGCTGCTGTTCTTCTCGAGGGAAAAATAATAACACGCGTGGAAGCGACAGGCAAGAGCAGTGAACTCTGACGGCGCCGTCGCATCCGAATGAAACCCTTTCGCTCCGCTAAAAGTGTACATCACCGTTGGCGCACGCTACAGGTGAAACGATGGAGGGGCCAGGGAGCACCTCATGGGATCCCATTGTCCGAGCATATGAAATACCGCTGGGTGAAACGGCCTGGGGCCTAAACAGTATCACCACGGAGTCAGTGCTGGCATGTACAAAACCAGCGTAGTCTTGTTACCGTCGTCATGCACTGCTATACGTAACGATTGCGATTTGCAGCGCTTATGCCACTTTGCAAGTCAGGTTACGTTGGTTTTGCATAGGCCAGTATTGACTCCGTATCGGGCAACGAACAGCGATACGAGCTGCGTTGCCCCGCCGCGGTGGTCTAGTGGCTAAGGTACTCGGCTGCTGACCCGCAGGTCGCGGGTTCGTATCCCGGCTGCGGCGGCTGCATTTCCGATGGAGGCGGAAATGTTGTAGGCCCGTGTGCTCAGATTTGAGTGCACGTTAAAGAACCCCAGGTGACCAAAATTTCCGGAGCCCTCCACTACGGCGTCTCTTATTATCATACGGTGGTTTTGGGACGTTAAACCCCACATATCAATCAATTAATACGAGCGGCGTTGACGTGGCTGTACGATGCATGATGGTTTAGAAGAGCGCGGTCACAAATGAACTGCTGCCCAACATCGAATGAGGTTTTATGTTGATGCATCAGCCAATCAGGCTCGCTGATTTCCTTCGACACGTTGTCTATTTTGTTTGCACATGTGTTATGCATTGGCACTTTGATATTACATGCCATTAAATTGGGCAATAGGGGCAAATTAAGCGATTGCGAGTATAGTTTCTGACCGTCGTATGAATTTTCATGAAACGTCATGAAATGTTGGCCTAATATTGGCGTTGCCGAGAAGGAGAGGGGGATGTTTGCCGTTTTGCTTCTATATTTCCAATTTGGCATGTGTGGGTAATGTGTATACAGGAACACATGCACACGCACGCACCATTATAAATAACGTGTGATTAAAAAAAAATGGCCGGGTTGTTGCGTGCAGCGTTGCAAATGTCATCGAAAGACGGCAGTCTTCTGTCGGTCCTCTTCCGTGCATAGCGCCGCATTATCAGTGCAACCTTAGAAAAACTGTGGTTTTTAGAATTACGTAGATATTTCATAGTAACGGAACACGCCGCGTAATACTTACGTATTGATGATGCGCCTCAGCTATGCGTTATATTTGCTGTTTCATCGACTATGTTCACAAGTATGAACGCAGCCACCAGTTCAAGATGGTTGGGCGTTCAGCAAGTTCTTAAACTTTGGCCGGGTTGCTGAAAAGAGACAGACGGACAGATCGAAATTTCTGTGCTAGAACTATCGTCTTCGAAAAATTCTGGCTGTACCTGTGGCCTAAGATTGATATA